CAAAACCCAAAAACAATAATTAGATTAAGGGTGAATTTAATTAAAAATCAAAAAGGAAGAATTTTTTTTTGTTCGAACGCCACTAGCCACCGGTGACCACCGGTGGCCAGCAGCAGCAATCGGCGACCACCGCCGGCCACCTCCTTCTCTCTCCTTTTGTTTTTGGTTCGGAATTATTGTTATAAAAAAAAATCTTTTTCTCTTCCTAATTTAATTCTATTGTTTTTATTAATTTAAAACATGATTTTGATTATGTTTTGGTATTGATTTTGGGTATTTGATGTTGTTAAATTATTTATATAATTTTCAGATTTTTATTCAATCAAAAACTCCAATTTACAAACCCTAGAATTGGGAATTTATGGTTTATGATTAGGGTTTGATCCTAGGTTGTTGTTGTTGTTTAATTAATGGTTTAAACATGTTTTTAATGAGTTTAAAGTCTTCAAACTAGTGCTGGAATTTATTTATGCACACTACTTTTTAATTATGAGTTAAGGTTTGATTACCCATAAAAGGGGAAAAGGTTTTAATGATTTAAATATGATTTCCTAGTCTATTAGTTATGTTATATTAAATAAGTATGCTTGAATTTTATTTAAGTCATAAAAACTAAGTCTTTTTTAAAGGATTTGAAGTGCCCACTAAAAGAAAAGGTTTATGGCTTTTATGTCATTAAATTGGGTTGATTAGTAAGGTTTAAAGTGTATTATAGTTGCTGGAAATTTGTGAGAATAGTAGATTAATTATAGTTATGTATTCTTATTTGTAGGAAGCTTCAAGCTAGGTGATTTCTAGCGAGTGTGGCCGAGTTTAGGCGTTTTTCAAGGTACGTATGTGCACAAGAATATTTGTGTATGCGTAGTATCATGATAGGATTTGTAAAGTGTGATTTAAGTGATGAGTTAGTAGCATGTTTGGTTGATTATATGCTTGGAATTGATGTTGGTTGAGCATGAATTGTTATGCAAGCATGTGAATATGTTATTTGAGGCATGATACGAGTTGAATATGTATGAATCATGGAAGTATGTTTTATTTTCAAGTATCAAGAAAGCATGTATTTAATAAGCAAGACTTATATATGAATTAAAGAGCTAAAGTTAGAATTATTGAGCATGATTCATGAATTTATTTCTCACCATTTATTATTGTTGTTGAGTCAAGATGTTAGTTTATTTATTTACTCACTCATGTAAGTTGAGTTTGTGTCAAGGAAGCTTAGTAGTGCATTTTATGCACCAAGGTAGTAATCGTGCAATTTTGTGCACAAAACTAAGCAAGGAACCTTAATTAAAATAAATAGTATGTGCTCACTAATTAATTCAAGAATGAATTGGAAGTATGTGTTGAATGTTGCTATGTTTATTCTTTATTGATTGGTTTGAATCATCACATGTTAAATTGGTTAATCACGTAAAGTGTAAGAGGATACGCACTAAAACTCTTGGAATGTATATACCTTGAGTACGAACATATGGGGAGAGTTGTAGGATTTTATATTTAACCATAGCTTCTATAGGGGTACAAGACGCTGTACTTTCTTTTATTATTAATGACAAGATGACATTGTAGGTGCCAATTGGGGTAGCTCCCTGATTGGAAGCTCAATATTTAAATGGGCTATTCTTCAAGGAAGGAAACCCATTCGATGCGTAATCCGAAAAATTATTATTAATAATTATTATTGCTAGTTATGAGTCAAAGGTAAGTTGACTTGTGATTGTATGGCGAGCATGTTTTAATTATTATTTTTATTTAGATGCTAGGATATTCATGTTAGTGTGGTGCATATGTTCTCAGCTTTACTGATTCGTACTTTTGTGTTTGTGTTTGGCTTTCCTTTGGATTGACCCTACTATGACCCATTTATATGGTGAGTAGAGGGTTGACTAAAGAGGAAGTAAGAGGTGCTTGAAGCATGAAGAGCATGATGGGATAGAGTGCAAAGAGTTACTTGTTATGTTCTTTAGTTTTGATATTTTTGAATTATTGGTTATTGTTTATGGACTAACATTATAGTGTTTATTTTTAATTGGTTTTTAAGAAGTGCCATGTTTGAATTGGTTTCAACTTGTGAATGTTTTATTCTACTTTTGTTTTGAGGTTGTGAACTCAAGTTTCAATTTAAAAGTTGGTTTTGTTTTTAGACTTCCGCTGTGTGACTTTGAAAATTAGTCTTAGCCGTTATCACGGTGGCGGTAATATTTTGGTTATTTCCTAAAAAGGGTTTTATTTAGAGTAAAATGAGTATTTTTAAAAGAAGGAAATTTCCAGGGTATTACATTTATAAACACCGGGTATCACGAAATTACTAGGAGATACAACGAAGACAATCAAAACAGTGTGTAGTATGTTTGTGATCTAAGGCAATCAAAACTTTGATAATTTATGACGATGAACAATGGGGTTTGCAAAAGGTTTCAAGGAAATAAAAACTGTTATTTTCTTGAAGTTGTTTTTTCATCATATGTTCAATGAACATATATATATGAAGCAAAATTTTCTAGCAAATAACAAACGAAGAACCATGAAGAAACTGCCGCAAAACTGATAGCCAAGCCCGCGCCCAACCAGGCCAATCTGGACGTTAAAACTTAAAGCCTCTCGTGCCCGGCCGAGCGGTGGTGGCCCTGTCAGGCGGTGGAACCAAAATCCAAAAAGATAGTCTCGCGCCCTGTAGGGCGGTAAAACCTAGTTCCGGGCAGCGAAGTTCGCAATTTGTTCTTCGTTCTCACAGCACAGTAACCCAAAAGCATCCTCGCACCCGGTTGGGCGAGCGTAGCCCAAACCGAGCGACTGACATGGCGACTTGAGGGTTGCTTTCTTTGCCTCCTCTAAACCGAGTTTTTCCTCTACACCAAGGTTATTATCTTCTAATTACTTATTTAATTAATAATACAACACCTTAACCTAAGTAAATCAATTATACAACATGAACATAGCCTACAATTCTCTAAATTATTCAACAAAAATTTCCTCCTTTTGAAATACCTTTTTTTTTACCCTTATTAAAACACAACTTAGGAAATAATAACCAAAATATTACCGCAACTATGATAACGGCTAAGACTTTTTAAAGTCACATAGCGGAAGTCTTAAAACCTAAACAAAACATTTATAATAAATAACTTGAGTTCACAACCTCAAAACCAATATGAAATAAAACCATTCACAAGTTGGAACCAACATGACCCATAAAAACCAACACTCAAAACGTAAGTAATCAACAATGTTAGTCCAATAATAAATCATCAATAACTAATATATAAATAAGCCTATGACAGCATAACAAGTAACTCTCAACACTCGTCCAATCATGCTCTTTATGCTTCAAGTACCTGTCGCTTTCTCTTTATTTTAACCTCACTACTTGCCATTAAAATTGGTCATTATAGGGCCAATCCAAAGAAAAGCCAAACACAAACAACAAAGTACGAATTAGCAAAAGCTAAGTACATATGCACCTATAAAACTTAGCACACTAACATGATCATCCTAACAATAATAATTAAAACATGCTCGCCATATAATCACAAATAAACTTACCTTTGACTCATAACTATCAATATTAATTATTATTATTAAATAGCTTTGGATAACGCATCGAACGAGTTTCCTTTCCTTATCAATCCCTTTTGAAGGGACCCTTAACTTGGGAGCTAACCAAGCGAGTACCAAACTATTGTCACCTTATGACGAAATTCTAGCGCATAAGTAATAATAATAATAATAATAATAATAAATAATAATAATAATAATAATAATAATAATAATAATAATAATAATAATAATAAAACAAAGTACACTGTCCTGTACCCTTGTTATAAGACATGGTCAAAATAAAACCCCATAACTCCCCTGTATATATGTTCCAAGAGTTTTGGTGCGTACCTTCTTACGCTTTACGTGATTTACCAATTTATTATGTGATGACTTCAACCAATCAATCAAGAATACAACACAATAATCATCAATACATATTCCAATCAAATTAATTATTGAATTAATTAGTGAACACATACTATTTATTTTAATTAATATTTCTTGCCTAATTTTGAGCACAAAATTGCACTACTACTACCTCGGTGTATAAAATGCACTAATAATTTTCCTTGACTCAATCTCAACTTATGTGAGTGAGTAAATAATAAACTAACTTTCTTGACTCAACTCCAATAATATATGGAGTAATTTTATGGAAATTCTGTGTCGAACTACCCTAAAGATAGGCTGTTTTGTGAACAGCTACCCTTTTTTTTTATTTATCTATTATTATTTTGTTTAGAGCTACCCATAAGATGGCAAATATTTGTCTAGCACTACCCGTAAACGGTTTCCGTCCAACTGAGCCGTTTGTGGGGACCACTCCTACGATTTTCAACTCAATTCTCTCCTCCTTCATTTACTTTCCCTCCAAACTCATCCAAAAATCTAAGAGAAAAAAAAAATTCAAGCAATCCAACGCAATTTATCACTAAATCGAGTAATGTTTTATCTACTGTTTTAATTCTTGGTTTGTTTAATTGAATTTGGGTTTTTAATTTACTTCAATTAACATAATTAGGGATTCAATTTAAGGTTTAGGGCTTCAATTCAATTTGGGGATTTTATTTAGGGTTTAAGACTTTAATTGAGTTAGGGGTTTTGCTTATCTCGTCAATTAAAAATTTAGGGTTCTAATTTGAGTAATAAAAAATTTAAGGTTTCCCACATGTTCAACAATTTATAATTTAAAGGCCACAAATTTCATAGTAATTATTAATTGTAGCTCGTTCATCCTTGTTTTTGTTCAGTATTTTCAGCAATTACTTTGCTCTTCCCTTTAACCATTGAAATAGTTTCACCCTTTGACAAGGAATTACCCAAAACAACAAGAAGATGAATAGGAAATAGAGAGACAACAAAGAAAAGGGTTTTAGGCCTTGTTGATTTACTAAAAAGGGGATGAATTTGGAGATTTGCTTAAGTTAGATTAAGATGGTGAAAGGTGGAAGGTCAAAGAAGAGGAGTAGAAATGGAGGGAAAGAAAATGAAGGAAGACAAAGGTAGTTGAGGTGAGGAGTTAATTGGGTGGAAAACCGTAGGAAGGGCCCCACAAACGGCTTAATTGGGCGAAAACCATATGTGAATAGTGCTAGACAAACATTTGCGATTAGTTCGAAAAAAACCCGAGTAGTTTACCATTTTATATAGTACATTAGTACTTCATATAAATTGGAAATTTCTACCCCAATTAATCAATAAATACCTTGAAATTCAAATTCTGGAACCCTGGCACTACTTTTTCACCAATACAAAAATACAATTGCAAACGACGGCCACCCTCCACGAAACCCTCACTGTCGTCGAAATTCTCCCTCTTTCTTACAATGTACTCTTACTGTGGTTTCATGCGGAAGTAAAGGTTGATTCTACTTGAATTGTAGGTTTGTAATTAGGGCTCAATTGATTTTGATTTCCGACTGAAATTGCAATTCAAGGTTTCAAAAGCTCCTGATTTTCCAGCAAAATTCATGGGCAAATATGATTTTGAGGAAGAATTATCCGGCAGTGACGGCGACGATGATTTCTTGCATGATGAGATTCGAGCGCTTTCGATGGCGTGTATGCCGCTGCAGCCACCGCCTTCCGCCGCAGACGGTGGCGCCACTGCCGACAACGATGAATTTTCCGACGACAATGATGACGACGACGATGACGACTTCGAATTGGTTCGTAGTATAAAAGAGCAGTATGGGTGTGGGGATGATATTTCTCAACCACTGTCTTTGAAACCCATTATGAGTTTACCTCCTGCTTTGTCTGATGATGATGAAGATGATTTCGAAACTCTCCGTGCTATTCAGAAGCGCTTTTCACGGTATTGTGGCGCCGGTGCTGGTGGTGGGGATGCTGCTGGTGATGATGGTTTGTGTCCTTTTAACTTCTGTATCGAACTTATGTTGAGTTTGTCTTGTTTGCATACTTACATTGTTGTTGTCTTGGTTTGATGTTGTTCTTGAATTATTTGCTGATGCCATTTTTCGACACGATTACAAAAACCGTTTGTATTGTTGCATTATTAACTAGATTTGTAAAGGTAAAATTGACAATATTACTTTAAGCTTATTGATGTTCTCACTTGGCATTCTATTTTGAACATAGCTTGTTGTTCATTTGACAATATGGCTAAATTGGCTTGAATCTTTGCTGTTGTGATTAACTGTGTACTGATTTAATTTACGTCTTTGAGATATCGGATGTGCTTTCCAGTTATTATGAACTGAATTTGCTGTTGATTTTCACCATTGTTGATTGACTGTATGGATGGTCAATATTTCAGATGCAATGGCAAGCAAGGATGATGACTCTGTTGACAAATCATTCCACAAAAGTGATGCCGTTGGCACGTCTTTGGGAAGTGAATTCTTGGATGTACATCAACGTGATTTTGGACAAGACACTTGGGATGCTGCTGAGAATTTTCAGAATGTGGAGACTTCTAGCTGCACCTCCAGCTTCCCCATGTCCGCACAAACATTTATGGAAGCTATAAAGAAAAACAGGTCCTCTCAGAAATTTATACGAAGCAAGATGCTTCATATTGAAGCTAGGATGGAAGAAATCAATGACATTAAAAAGCGCCTGAAAACACTTCGAGACTTCCAGGTGCAGTGCAAGAAAAAAATTGGTCGAGCATTGTCTCAGAAGCAGGATGCTCGTGTCCAGCTAATTTCAGCTCTAAAGCAGAGAGCTAATACAAAGGTTTGTCTTTTTTTGCCACACAGACAGCTATTTTGTATCTATTCAATTAAATGAAAGCTCTTTACCATGTCAAATTTATTCACCCAATCTTCAACAAGTGGCGAGTCATTATATGTTGTTGGGTTTGGATGGGAGGAGCGAGCTTATTAACTTGATTACTTGTAACAGGTAGCTGTTATAAAACTGATATGCGATTCAGATTTGCTGGTTGCTGCTTCACACTTGAACCCTTGAATTACTTTACTAAGACATTTTTTTGAATCACAAAAGCATACAAGTATATATCAATTTTTCTGCATTGTTTATTTTCCATTGACTGAGTTATTTCACAGGGTTCGGAGAAAAATATTTCTGCAATGCTATATGGCCCATTGGAGAACTCCCATGTTGTTTTGTACAAGGCTGCTATGGAGAATTTTCCGCTGTCATTTCATCGGGAGAAATGGTCAAAGGATGAAAAACAACTTCTTAATAAGGAAATTAGTAACCAGTTCCAGAAAAGTTTGTTCAACAAATCTGCTGATGCAATAAGGTATGTAATTTTCTTGTTACATGTGGACTCGTAACATTCTCAAAAGCCTTTTTTTCGTTTCGTTGAACAAATGATATGATCTACTCATAAAATAGTAAGATAGTTTTCCATCTTTAATTGTCCTGACGAACATTGTGCCCCATACCGTATTATATTCTTGCTTTCGATATTGTTGTACATACTGATTTGCAAACTTTGGTATCTTTGTTTTTGAATTGTTTCTAAATTTTGCTATCTTGTATGTTCACGTTGCTGGAGCTAATACCTGTTGTCTCTACATATGAAAAGAAAATGAAGAACAAAATCACTGTACTTATAGGTTTATGCCGTATCACTTTTGGTTGAATGTTTAAATGAAAAAGCAAGTGTGTGTTGGAACAACTACTTTTCTGCTCTTTCTGTTTCTTTTATTTCATCATATATTTGAATGACACATCAAACTGAATTTATAGTCTCATTCTATTGTGCAATTGTACTCCCTTTTCTTCTATGGGATAGTGTGTAACCGGTGTATCATAGCTCTTACTAATAATGTACACTGTGATTTCTGTCCCAGTGCTATTGAGGAATCTGGCTTTGACAATGGAGTGGATGGCATGATATCATCAATAAAAAAACTTGAAATTACTCCGGAAATTATCCAAGACTTTGTAGGAAAGGTGGACTGGAATCAATTGGCTTCTATGTTCCCACGTCGCTCTAGAGAAGAGTGTGAGGCAAGGTTAGCATCTCAGTTAGCTTTTGGCTGATGGGAGCTTATTTATACATATATGTTTAAAGAGTTTGTTTGTCATTATAGGCATGTTTGGTAATTAAATCTCCATAATTAGCTAGTTTTTTTAGCATTTCCTTTTCTAACTCTGCTTCTTTGTTTAATAACACACCATTGTACCAAACTATAATCACCTAATCTCCTTGTACACATAATCTCTAGCAAAAGAAAATGGTTTATCTGAATCTTTATTAAACGATTATTGTTTAAACATCTGATTATATATAGACGTTGAACCACTCGAATAATGAATGAATTTCATTAAGAAATGGTAGAATTTCAATTCCTTTGAACCTCCCTAATTGGGTAACTCTAAAATCCTTGCCGCTTTTGTGGTTTATATCTCGTTAAGATGCTAGATAGTTTACTTTGTCTAGGAACAGAATAGGATGTATGGAAGCTCAAGAAAAGATGTGGGAGTTTCGTCGCAATTGCACACCACAAAATTACCATTACAAATAATGCCAGTGCATCACAACTTAATATTGCTTATTCACTTCATGTTTAAAATTTAAAACCTCTTGGAGGATGAAGATTGTCCCAATACATATATATCGAATGAAGAAAAATCAATGTCCTCTTTGATCAATTAATTTTCTCCTCTCCTTCTACTTTCCTCAACTTTCCTATATTATTTGCAATTCTTGTGAATACTTCTTTGTAGGAGGAGCTTCTAGTAGTTTTTACTTCTTAGTGAAGAGACATTGGTACTGGCCATTCACGATATCATTTCTTGTGTCTCCTCTTTGATGTTTTAAAACATGACCTGTCATAGATTTAAACTTGGTTTCAATAAGCACCTTGGCGTGCCTAGCCGCCAAGCTAGTGAAGGCGGGAACGAAAACGCCTCAATCTTGCTAGGTGCAGTGCTCTACAGAAGGCGCCAGAAGACGTAGCGCTTAGGCCGCCTTTACCAAGGTGCAAGGCGCAGTGCTTAGGCTGCCTTACGTTAAGACCAAAAACTGGCTTAAATTCAGAGGAAAAGTCTAAAAGACAAAAAATTTCCAGTTTGAATCTTACATTGTCTTAAGTTACAAATTCGAGCAAAAGCCCTCAATGCATGAATTTACTTCAATTTTACTCCGAAATTTTCTTAAATTAAGTTGAAGAATTAATCTCTTGTTGCTGTCTTGTTGCATGCTATAACCTGTCTTATAGCAGTGGTTGATTATTTGTTGATTAAAACATGCAGGTGGTTAAATAATGAAAATTGCGTGATCAACCGAGATAACTGGACATCAGACGAGGACAAGCATCTTTTGCTTCTCGTTCAAAAGAATGGAATCCATAATTGGAGTTATATTGCTGAAAAATTGGAAACTAATAGGACTCCTTTTCAGTGTTTGGCACGTTATCAAAGGAGTCTTAATGCAAGCATATTAAAAAGAGACTGGACAGAAGATGAAGATGCTCAATTGCGTTGTGCTGTAGAGTCTTTTGGGGAGAGTAATTGGCAAGCTGTTGCTTCTGTATTAGAAGGACGGACAGGTACCCAGTGTTCTAATAGGTCAGTAATAATGTAAACAATTCTTTGTTAAGTCTGCATTTTCTCATACACTCGAATGTCTCTAGATTGTCTTTAGTATAGATATGATCTTCAGCTGCTGCTCTAATTATACATCTGGTTGATTTTGCTTTCATTTCTTGGGTGTGAGACCATAGAAATGCATTAGGCTGTCTTTGTTCACAGATTACTTATGCTCAACACATTAAAGAATGTCACCTCATGACCACGGTGTATTGATTTCATTTGCTCAAGAGCTAAGATACATACATAGAAGGACTGTTTTTTAATTGGGAGTTATGAAGGGGGGATTTCTATATTTTATTTTTTGGCTATGGTTATGGCTTTAAAATTAATGATGTATTAGATCAAGACTTTGAGAGGATAATTTGTCTGTGTGCGATTTGGACCCCATTCCTTTTGGGTATCTCCAATTTATCTAGAGTGTATTTACCTTATTGCAATTGCTTACTTTTGGGATCCTTACATTGCTGTCTTATTTGATTTGAATCTATTGGATAAACTGAAAAGTTGGTGGATTGAATTTTTGTTTCATCTTCGGAAATTAGGTGGAACAAAACTTTGCTTCCAGCAAGACAACGGGTAGGGACATGGAGTATTAGTGAAGATAAACGCTTAAAGGTTGCTGTCACTCTTTTTGGCCATAAAAGCTGGCACAGAATAGCCTCGTTTGTTCCAGGAAGAACCCAAGCACAGTGTAGAGAAAGGTAAATTTTTGTCTTTGGAGCTGATTTATGTTGATATTACTCTGACTAATATCTATTTGCTTTTTCTTCTTGAAGATGGGTTAATGTTCTTGATCCATCTTTGAACCGGGGTCAATGGACTGAAGAAGATGATATGAGGTTAATAAAAGCAATACAAGAACATGGGTACTGCTGGTCAAAAGTTGCTGCCTGTGTTCCTTTACGAACAGATAACCAGTGCCGTAGGTATGTTGTGGAGATATTTTTCTGTTTCTTCTAGACTTTACACTTTGGCAATAGATATTATAGTCATCAATGTTTTATATATAAAAATATGTTCACTCAAGAAAGTAGTTTTCTAAGCTCTAAGAAATAAAAAAATTTAGACATTGCAAAAGCTAACTGAAATTGATAATAGCTAGCTTGAGAGAGGTCACTTGTACACTTTGTTTGGACCGAAAGAAATGGAAGGATAAGAAGAGATGAGGAAGGGAGGAGGACAATTTCTTTTGTTTGGGTGAAGGATTGGGGGAAGGAAGAGGAAGGAGAGAGAGGGATCCATTCTCTCTCTCTTTTTATTAAGTATTATCCTTCCATCATTGAGATTTGGAGGGAAAATGTAGCTCACCTTTCCCCTCCCTTCCTCTTCTGATCTTGCCTCCCCTTCCTTTCCTTCCTTCTTTACTATCCAAACAAAACGGTATAGAGCTCAATTTAGTATCGAACACTAAGTTACTTGAACTCAGTTACCCATATCTAACGTGGGTATGTGTACAAGTGTCCAACTAGGCTTTTATTTTATTTTATTTTTATTTTTTTAATAGAAATTTTCATGTTTTTGTTCCAAAATGAAGTGTCAAAGTATTCTACCCATGTCCAAGTGTCAAAGATTCGAGTAACATAGCTCGAACAAAAGGGTGTCATCTTTGCATTTTTACTTCTTTCTTGTTTCATTTTCAGCCTAATCTATCTCCCAAAACACTACTGTGATAATTAATCAAAAAGATATAATTCTTTATGAATAGGTTATCACACACTTCACCTCAAACACCAAATAACACCTTGGAAAAATTGATACTTCAATCTTGGAAAAATTGATACTTCATTAAGACATTACCTTGGACGGATGTTACTGACTAAAGTGTGATTTATGTTTAACTAATTAAAAAGATAAATGAATAGGTTATCACACAATTCACCGCAAACACCAAATAACACCCTCAATAATTGAAAAAATTGATACTTCATAAAGACATTACCTTGGACGGATGTGATGGATTAAAGTGCGATTTAGGTTCATCTTACCCTGGTGTGGTGGCCTGTGGGTGCGTGGGTCGACTTAGTCTGGGAGGATGGCGTGGATGGTGGTGGACAGAGAAGGAGAAAGTGAGATGGGAGAGAGTGAAAGAATAATAAAAATACAAACACTGTTTCCATTGTAGTTACTTTTCGACTTTTACTGATTGGGTTCTCAATTTTTTTTTTTTTTTTGTATAATTTTTTTTCTTCTTCTGTAATATGGTAATTTGGGCTTTTTTTACAGCCTTACCTGACAAGTTGTACAATACTTGGACTCCATGATAATCAATTAAAACTTGTAGGGAATGTTGCTACAATTATGAGTTTGATCTTGCTTTTGTACCAGTTCTTCCAATTGATAAATTCCAGCTAGTAATTGGAGCATAATGTATAGAATTTTTGGCTATATATACAAAACCAATCTCCTTCCAATATAACCCTTAGAAAGCAGAGGCTATCACAAAACACACTCTAAAACACACTCCTGGGTTTTGTTTAAAAACAAATAATGTAATGATGTGGGCAAGATTTTGTACCATGGATATAATGCTAGTGGGGAAGATGGAATGAGAGTTAGACAGCTCTCGTAAATAAGTCCTAAATATGAAGTTGATTTTCTTTTGGCAATAAAGACACGCTTAAACTTTAAGCATGTTATTTTGTTAACACTTCAAGCTGACAAAGAATAGGTTCTCTTCATTTACTATATTAAGTGTCACTACAAATAAATTAATTTAAAATAAGTTCAGTTCAGCTTAGCACGTATAAATCAAGTCCAAAAATACGTTCACTGGTTCACAAATAGACGTGTGTATATTTTATCTATAGTAATAATATTTTTTCCTGTAATCTTTGTGATATGAGTTTCGGTTCTGATTGTTATTTTGTTTAAATATGTCAGGAGATGGATGAGGTTGTTTCCGAATGATGTTCTACGACTTAAAGCTGCTAAAGATATTGAGAAGGCTGCTCTTATATCAAATTTTGTGGATAGGGAGTCCGAACGTCCTACTCTTGGGGCGAATGACTTTGTTCCATTGCGTATCACTGACTCAACTAATAGGCAGGAAATTGAAAACGTAACCCAAGAACAAAACAAGTCTAGGTGTACTTTTTCAACACTGATTTTCGAGCTGATTCACAATATTTATAGAACTTTCAGTTTTTGTTGACTCAATTATAAAATTTAAATGCAGGAAAAGTAGGAAAGCAGATCAAACTAGTGTTTCCTGGTAAGTGCATTCTTAGCTGGTTCTTTGCTGCTTTTGTTAATGCTATATATATTTATCTTTGCCTTGTTGTTGTTTCACAACTTTCGGCTATTCATGAGCTGAGGGTTCTACTGTAAATCTCTAATTGTTTGGTAAATATACTTGCTCCTTAAACACAGCCGTGGTCCGAAAGGGGTTAGATCAAGAAAGTGTAAAAAAGGTGATAGATTAACTACGTACAATGATGATGATGCACGTAGGACAAATGGGAAAAGAAGAGCCATTAGATCTGGCTCTAAAGAAAGAAGAAAGACTAGAAATTGTAGTCTTGCAGCAGAACCCAATAAGTCACGGTATGATGTTTGTGCAGTCATTTATTTTTTTGATCTTACTGTATTGTAAAGTACTTTTGGTCCTTTGCTAATGTCAATTTTCTATGCAGTGAAATCCCAGAATTACATGATAATAGTGAATCGGAGACCTT